ACAGGCATGTGCCACTATACTGTGCTCCATCTCTCCATTTAGAGATAAGTTACTCCTGCATACTTCAATCTGTGGGTCAATTGTTGATCATGACCAGTATGCCACTGTTTTCAGGAAGCAGGATAAATGGAAAGAGAGAACAGAGTATGTTTTACATAGTACACAGTTATCTAATAAGACTTATTTCATTAATAGATATGATGTATACTATATATGATATTACTACATATTGTATGTGTTATATAATGGCTTTATACTACATAATACATCTACAAGTATAGGATTGTCTTCACAAAATGGAATAAAGTAGAACAAGAAATGCAAAACTATATTGCATATAATAAAGATAATTATTTACCAAAACTTTTTTGAGACAAGGAAGGCCTTGCTGTGTAACCCAGGCTAGCTTCAAACTCATGATCCTCCCATCACTATCTCTGAAATGATAGATTGCCAATGTGTAGGACTATGCCCAGCTGAAATTTTAATTCTGTGTGTATACTTATGTATATTCTACTATGCACTCTAGAGAATGTATGCTATATATTTTATGTGCTATATATATTTATAAGGCATATCTGAATCTTGTTTGTCATAAAACATATGGGTCTTATATATAATATATATATTGTGAGTTATTATGTAAATATGTATTTAGTAGGGTATACAAACTGTTTTTCTTATTGTGGCTTCTTTTCTTAGATAGAATTTCTTGGAAACAGACGTTTCACCTTCAGCTAGCACCTCTGTTGGTCTCAGCGTCTTACTTGACTAGTGATCCATTCCTTCATCTTTGAGGGATCCCTGAGCCTGTGTCCCCATACCTGACTCAGACTCTGGCAGCTTCCTTGTCTACTTAACATGAAAGCTGAACAAGGAGTTCTAACAGATGCCAAAGTGGATGGCCTGGATGCCAAATGTTTTCCTTTCTGCCGTCAGTGTGTACCAACAGCCATAACTCCTCCTTCCTAGCTGTCAATGTTACATTCTTCTGCTAGTGACTTCTCTTTACTTACCAAAGGAAACCAGAAGTGCCCAGGTGGAAATCATAGTTTAGAGTTTAATGGGATTCTTGTTGTGTCCCCTGGTAGCATTGCCCCCCACCCCCAGAAGAACCTTGCAGAACCCTGAAGGAACAGGAAGCACAGATTCTAAAAGTGGATCACTGGAATTGATGAAAAGATGGACTGTCTCCACTGTGACCTCTGACTTCCCAGACTCATGTACTCTATATTACATATTCATATACAGTGATCATGGACTGAGGGTTTCCTTTGCTTTTAGGAAGGTAATGCATGGTGTCATCTCCAAAATGAGGTGATACTTATGGCTTCATTCTCTCAGGCCAGCATTCTCTGAGTTGTGTGTATGGAACCTCATTGGTTAATTCCATAGTCATAGGCCATGTTTGCACCTCTTTACTTTGCCTTCCTTTAGTTTATTATGACATGTGTCCTTTGGTTTGATGCAATGGGATCCTCTGCTGTTGGGGATCAAGTATTATTTAAACCCTTGAACAGTGATACTTGCTAGTCTTACTCAGAAAATGAAAAGGCAAACCACACATGGAAATTTCTAGTCAAAACAGATCACTATTTTTTTTTCCAACATAGAAGAAGCCCAAACCAGTCAGATTGTCCCCAGTGGCTATTTAGTTTTGACGTATGGTGTCAATTCAAAGATTCAATGTTGTTCTTTCTTGCTGAAAGACAGGAAGATTAGCTCCACATGTAGCTTTTATCTCTGCTGCCATTACCATTTCATTTGTGTGTCCATCTGCTAGCACTGAGGTGGCTCATTAGAGGCTGGCTGACATCGTCTGGCTGACTCATCCTATCTACTTGGTTGCCTAGTACCACTTCCATGGTGGATAAAGCCTGGTGGGTGTTAGCACACAGTACAAAGATCTTCATTCCTGCCTTTTAGCCTACTCCCATATGTTCACCCACAGTTCTGTGCCAAAGGCCTTCTTGTTATGATCTTCCAGTCATTTTTTTCCTGGCCTCTTAACAACCAGACAATTCACTTAACATTGCCTATAAACATATAACTCTATTAGTTGATGGGTGTGGTCTGACTCAGCTCATAATGAGCTGTTTTGGGTACACAGTCACTTGGTGCTCTATGGTCAAGCATTCTGTCTCTATAAGGAATACTGCAGTGGAATCTGTTTCTCAGGCAGCATATAATTCAGCCAGGCATAGTGGTACTTGCCTGCAATCCCAGCTCAGGAGGCTAAGGTAAAAGGATAATTCATTTGATGACAGTCTTGGCTATAGAGAATGTCCCAAAACAGTCAGGGCTACATAGTAAGACCTTATCTGAAATACAATGACCACAAAGGTATCTAAGCCCCTGCTGAAGGTGGTATGACCTAGCTCCAGAATCCTGAGAATCTCAAACTTAAGCTTCTCATAGGCTCCACACTGCATCTGTCTCCACTACTGACACCTCTGGTATCAAAAGACTGGCCAGGTTAAATATCCTAAGTGGCAGGACTGTTTGCACCACATCCTGGATCTGCCACAGTGCCCTCTTAGGCTCTGATCCCTACTCAGAACTGACAACTTTAAATGTCACTTGGAACATGGGTCCAGGTGTAGAATACGATGCTTCCAGAACTTGAAAGCTGTCTCTTTGCAGTAGAAGGCATGAAAAGCAAAGCTCAACTTTCTTCTTTGGAAGTGTCCTGGCATGCTTTTGGTCACTACAATATTACTAACATGATAGGTCCCTAAGACTCTGAATGGTCTCTCTCCTGCCTTCTCAAGCTTATGAATCTTTTGATGTTTGAGAGACATGTTCTTAATATGTACCTTAGAATAACCTGGAACTCACTACGTTGCCTAGTCTGGCCTCAAATTCATCATCCTCCTGCCTTAGGGGGATAGTGAATCCCCACCATCCCCACCATCCCCACCTCAGATTTCATGTGTATTATCAAGACAATATGCTAACCATCTCTTCTTCATCTTGCATAATCATCATGATGTAACTGATGTAATGGTCCAGTGTGATATTCTATGGGGTGTCCAGATGGTTTATATTCTTCTGCACTCTATTATAATGTAGGTTGAGAGAAACAACAGAATCCTATAGAAAAACCATCAACAGATATTGTCAATGTCATGTGAGCTGTTTTTGGTGTTTTTTTTTTCTAATCAGAATTGAAGAAGTGCATCTGCCAAATTGATGGCTGCCTGTCATACTTGATACATTATGAATTTATAATAATAACATGTCCAGTATTGTAGCTGCAAACAAAGGTACTAGTTGGTGACATTTGCAGCAGTCTACAAGAATTCTCTGTCTCTGTCCAGTCTTTTCAGAAACATAACTAGTTAATTTTATGGAGATATGATGAGACAAGTGCCCTTGTAGCCTCGTAGCATTGCTTTCAATTTACTGTTGTTTTGTTCTGTGTTTGTCAAGTGCTTGGGTTGAAAGCTAGGACTCCATGCATATTAGGAATGTGTTCTGCCACTGAGCTAGACACCCAGCCCTTATTTACTACTTTGGTAGGAGCATAGAGGTGTTATCTCAGAGGCTTCTATTTGGACTTCTCTGTACTAGCTTTTATCCCGCTGGGGGTTAGTCATGGAAATGAACATTAGGGTGTCTCCGGTCCAGGGGACTCACTGTAAGCAAGATCTAGTTATTTGTCAGCTTTCCAGTATAGTAATTGGGAGTAGATCCTGAGCAGGGCATGCATTGGTTTATAAGGTACTTAAGGGATACTACATTGTCTCAAACAAGGGAAGGTTTCTATGTAGTAAAGGTGAGTAGACTGCTTCTGCTGGTACAATGGGTTCAGGTAAATTCAGGATGTCTAACTGCATCCTTAGGTACCACGCCTGTCCTCTTAGGGCTGAGCATGGTGTGGCAGAGAGGTAGACCACCCTTCTCTGAAGTTCCACTATTCTTAAAATTAAACCCTGAACCTGGTCCTCCCATCTGCTCTCTCTCTGCAGATTAAGGTTTCTTTAAAATTGCAAAGGACATCCTCTGCCTTTCATATTTTGCCTTGAATTGGTGGTTATGCAGATCTTTCTGCAGTTTACAAGTGTCATTTAACAAACAGTTACCCCAATCTGGTTACCATTTCTTTCACATCTGTCAAGTGTCAAGAATATTTCACCAGCTGCTTCACTTTCCTCCACTAGATTCCTATTGCAGTCCACTATCAGGAAGTCACTTCATCTTCCAAATGCCAGGGGCTTATTGTATCACTCTTCATCACTTAAAAAAGAAATTCCATAGTTCATATTTTGTCACAATGATACCACCCAGTGTCTCAAGGCATCCCAGATCATATGGCACCCTCTTATGCATCACAAACTGCACCTGCCTCAGAGGAATTTGTATCACTACAGTATGTTATGGGTTGTACTGCCACCAAGGGTGCTCACTGGGTGAGCTGGATGCTGGATAACTCAGCTAAAAAATCATGCTAAGAGCCTTCTTCTGTAGTTTGACTCCTATGACCCAGTGTTATCAGTTCACTTCCTGGAACAGACTCAAGAGGCAGAGATTTTCATGCAGAAAGCCTACTGGGTATGTCTTTAGGATCAACACTGTAAAGAGTATAGGGTTGAACAGAGGATATGATATGTCAGAGGCCTCAGCTGTTCCCAGGGGGTACTCTGGAGCTGATCTGGCCCTTCAATGTCAGCCCAGATTGAGAGAAAGAGGTTAGCTTTCTGTCTTAGTTAGGGTTATCATTGCTATGTTGAAACACGGTGACCAAAAAAGCAAGTTGGAAAGGACAGAGTTTGGATTATATTTCCACATTATAGTCCATCATTGAAAGAAGTCAGGGCAGTAATTCAAAGAGGGCAAGAGGTGATGCAGAGGCCAGGAGTGCTGTTCTTTGGCTTGCTCTCCATTGCTTGCTTAGCCTCACCTTTCTTTGTTTCTTGCTTGGTTCCTTCCTTCCTTCCTTTCTTTTTTTCTTTTTTTTTCTTTTCAGGGTATTTAATAGTCAAATGTGAAGGTCTAGTTCATTTAAGCTCCTTCGCTGCCAAACCAGGGGGCAGGGACTGCTTCAATATCTCTGCCTTCTCCCTGTCTGTGCTGACCAGGGTATAAAGACACCTGCTGCACTGAACCTTGAATTTCATATTATCCTTGTTACTATTGATCTTGTTCTTGATGAATTTTGCATACTTCTTCTGGGATGTTAGCAAAAAGTTCTTGATTTTCTCAAATTTCCAAGGCATGAAGACAGGCGTTCAGCACTGGCAAGTACCTAAACACTCAGAATGGCAGAACCAGAGAGTACAAGAAAAACTAGCTTTCTTGTAGGACCCAGGACCTCTAGCTCAGAGGTAGCACCATCCACAGAAGCTGGGCCATCCTACATCAATCCCTAAGTAAGAAAGTGTCCTATAGGTTTACCTACTGCCCAATGTTATGAAGTCATTTTCTCAGTTGAGGCTCCCTTGCCTCTGATGACTTTAGTTGTGTCAAGTAGACATAAAACTAGCAAGCACACCTTCATACGCCCTCAAGATCAGAAATAAATAAGGGGCTAAACTCAAAAAAATTAAGTATTGCTGGGCATGGTAGCTCATGCCTTTAATCCAAGCACTTGGGAGGCAAAGACAGGTAGATCTCTGTGAGTTCAAGGTCATCATGGTCTACAAAGCAAGTTTCCAGCCAGCAAGGGCTACACAGTGAGACCTTGCCTCAAAAAAAATCCAAAGAAACAGGAAGGAAGGAAGGAAGGAAGGAAGGAAGGAAGGAAGGAAGGAAGGAAGGAAAGAAAGAAAGAAAGAAAGAAAGAAAGAAAGAAAGAAAGAAAGAAAGAAAGAAAGAAAGAAAGAAAGAAAGAAGGAAAGAAAGAAAGAAGGAAAGAAAGAAAGAAGGAAAGAAAGAAAGAAGGAAAGAAAGAAGAAAAGTAGATGTCACCTTGGCCAAAGCAGCTGCCTATAACAGACGACAATTTTCATTGGAGAGAAAGGCGTGAGCTGTCAAAAGGACAAAGACTTGTTGGCCCCAAAGAAGAGCCCGAGCAGAGCAGAACAGAACACAATAGCAGCCAGTACACTTGTCAAAAACAAGCAAAAAACAACAAACCTTGAAAAGCAATGATGTATGCATTTTCTCAATTGAGGCTTTTTCCTCTCTGTTGACTTTAGGTTGTGTAAAGTTGATATGAAACTATCCAGCACAGGCAGTAACCTCAAGAAATTAGGTGTCATCCTCATCTATCATCAGTTATAAATGGAAACCCACGAGATCTTAAAGATTCTCTTCTGTTTATGGGGAACAGTGTTAGTGTGTGTGTGAGAGAGAGACAGAGACAGAGAGACAGAGGGAGACAGAAACACCGATGGAGGGAGGCAGAGAGATCAAAAGAGAGAGAAACAATATACAGAAAAAAAGAAAAAGGAAGCAGCTGTTCTTGAGTCCTTTTGTGCACATCAATGAAGCCAACAGGATGCATTTGTGCAATATATATGTATCAGAGTTGCTGACTGTGTACATGCTAGTGACTGGTTTTCCTAGGAGTGTCTCTTCCTTTCATCTCCCTTCCATGAAAATCCTGACTGGGGCTTCTGTGAAGAAGCCTGTTTGGTAGAATTATGATCCTGGGAGAGGAGGCTGCTGGAAGCTGGGTGAGGCTGGAGGCAACGACAAAGCAATTTGTAATGTGCCTAATGCTGCTGCTCCTGCTCCTCTTCTTGTGGCTTCATCCTCAGCTGCATTCCTTCCTCCCCCATCATTGCTGGCTACAGCTTCTTTACAAGCAGCCGCAGCTGCACCCCTCAATTGGCAGCTCCTGTTCAGATGCAACTGTCCACCCATAGCTCTTGAAGCCCCCACAGCAGATGACACCCTTGATCAAGGCGCAGCTTTATGGTAAAACTGAGAACAGAAAGTCACTTTGGAATCATGCAGACACAAGTACCAAGACCCACACAAGCACTGAAACATACCACACTATAGGGTACACCTCATGTATTTATATTCTCTGAGGTTCTTGGTCATTTACAGACCTTTATGTAGTTCAAAGTCCATTATAATTGACACAACACAATTCATTTTCCAAAGCTTTTACAGGAATACTTAGAATACTAATGTGATGAGATACCATAGTTTGAGGCATGTCTGCTCTCTATGGTCTTTTATAATATCCTTTACATACTTCCACAGATATTACATTGTTCATTGTTCACAAAGTATTGTCAATTTTCACAAGCTATTTTAAAGTATTCTGTGGTTTCTGTACCAGAACTGATGGGGAAAAGGGTTCGAGGGACCAGCCTGGGTCTGATCTTTATGTCTGAGATCTGAGCACTGATGGATGTGTCCTTCTGTATTTCTCTATACAGGGCAAAATACTTCAAAGGGAAGAAGATACATGGAGAAACTGACATTAAAGTAGAGCAAGTAAGTTGAGGAAGCAGGCTTGGAACTCCATCATCTGGGCAGCAAACCCATTGTTCACACTTACATGATGTGGGCAAATCATTGGTTTTCTATCTTTTCCAGGCTGAATTCTCTGATCTCAATCTTGTGGCTCATGCCAATGGAGGATTTTCTGTGGACATGGAAGTTCTTCGGAATGGGGTCAAAGTTGTGAGGTGAGTGTGAAAAAGGCACACTAGTGTTACAGGGGAAAGCATAAGGGACTCCCTTAGAACTGGGAGAGTCACTAACTATACACATGTTCAGTGAGCAAAATCTTAGGTACAGAGTGTGGCAGTGAGGGGGCTGTTCTAAGTAGCCAAGGGTCCTAGCAGACTACAAGGAAACTTCTCAAGTTTTTATTCAACAAATATTTGTTGAGCATCTACTTCATTCTAGGTGCTGTCCTTAGTAGTTGACACCAACAGACATTTATTTAACACCTGTTGGTGTGCCAAGAACTCTTCTACATGCTAAGTGACCTAGTGGTGAGCAAAACATAACACCTTCCCAAGTATAAAACCCTTCTGCCTTTAACTTGATTTATGAATAGGTAATAAGAAAATGTAAAGATGAGACAGAGGCAGGTGGAGCTCTGTGAGCTTCGAGGCCAGCCTGATCTACAGAGTGAGTTCCAGGATGCCCAAGGCTACACAGAAAAACCCTGTCTCAAAAAAACAAAAATAAAACAAAGAAAGAAAGAAGGAAGGAAGGAAGGAAGGAAAGAAAGAAAGAAAGAAAGAAAGAAAGAAAGAAAGAAAGAAAGAAAGAAAGAAAGAAAGAAAGAAAGAAAGAAAGAAAGGAAAGATGGAATCACCAGGAAAAACCAAAAACAGAGAATCAGATATAGGGCTCGTTGGAAGATAATGGGTTTTGCAATTTGGATAGAGGCCTGGTAGTGTAAGAAATAGTTGAGAATGAGCTGAAGAAAGTGAAGGAGAGATTCCTGTATGTATGCTGGGGAAATATGCAGGTGGAGGGAAGAGCTCACAGATCCCAAGGACAACTGGGAGCCTGAGAGACTGTGACCAGGGAGATGCCATAGTGGAGTGGGTAGCATTTGCAAGCTGACCTTCAGCAGACAGGAATGTCTGAAATCAGTCACCAGATGGGGAAAGGGTGGCAACAATGTTCCAGGCAGAAGGACCAGCTTGTCCATATGGGCAGAGGGGGAAAAAAAACACTTTGCAATTTCCAGGAGCTATGAATACTCAGAAATTCAGGAGTGGTAGCATACTTCCTAGCTGGTGGGAGGTTGAAGATGCTCAGAATTTTATCTGTGCCCCCAACCCAGGTCTCTGAAGCCAGACTTTGTGCTGATCCGCCAGCATGCCTTTAGCATGGCACGAAATGGAGACTACCGCAGTTTGGTCATTGGGCTGCAGTATGCCGGAATTCCCAGTGTTAACTCTTTGCATTCTGTCTACAACTTCTGTGACAAACCCTGGGTGGTAAGTTACAGCAAGAGTGCTCCTGGAAATGGAATTGCACGTATGTGCATGTGGGAATCTGGAACCACTCTGTCTTTTCAGAAGTGAGGATGTTTAAAACTTTAACATGCAAGTTAGCTTTACATCACTGTAACAAATACATGAGATAATCAAACTCAGGAAAAGAAATGGTTTGTTTTAGCTCAGTTTTTGAGGTTTCAATCCTGTTGCTTTGGGCTTGTAGCAAGGCAGAGCATCATGGTGGAAGTGCACAGTGGAGCAAAGCTATCTTTCTTTCGAGAGAAAGAGGAAAGCAGGGAATTAAGCCCCTGTGAGAATAGCACCTCCACAACAACCTAAAACATCTTAGAAGGCCACACCTCCAAACAGCATCACTCTGGGGAATAATTTTTAACACATGAGCCTTCAGGACATTACAGATCCAAATTAGCACTTGGGGTACAAGCTTACAGACTCCCCTGAAGTTAGGAACTCACTGATTCATGTCTCCTGGTTCTTATAGTTTGCCCAGATGGTTCGACTACAAAAGAAGCTTGGAACAGAGGAATTCCCTCTGATTGATCAGACTTTCTACCCCAATCACAAAGAGATGGTAAGCCTGGGAGAACAGAGTGGGAAAGATTCAGAACTACTGCAATATTACCAACAGCTGTATTGATGGTACGATATCTGAGTGTTACAGGTAGAAATGCATAGAGCACCAGTTCTCAACCTGTGAGTCACCACCTTTTCACAGGGGTGACATATCAGATATCCTGCACATCCGATAGTTACATTACAATTCATAACAGTAGCGAAATTACCGTTATGAAGGTAGAAATGAAATAATTTTATGGTTGTGAGGTCACCAAAACATAAGGAACTGTATTAAAGGATCACAGGTTGAGAAATGTTGAGAACCGCTGGTGTAGAGGAATGAAGTAGCTTTATGATTGAGTCTATCAAACAGGTTGAATAGCCTTTGTCCAAGATGCTTGAAAATCATAAATGTTTCAGATATCAGATTTTCCTTTTGGATTTTGAAATATTTGTATATGTATACAGTATTTTGAGCATGGGACTCAAGTCCAAAGATTTATTTATTTTTTTATTGTGTGTGGTTGCTTTGCCTGCATGTGTGTCTGCGCACCACACTAATGTAGTGCCCATGGAGGCCAGAAAAAGATGTCAAATCCCCTGAAATTGGAGTTACAGACAGTTGTAAGTTACTATGTGGGTGCTGGACACTTAACTTCAGTCCTCCGTAAAGCTCTTAATCCTTGAGCCAAGTATTTCACATATGCCTTATAAACATAACTTCAAGTTACTCTAATACAGTATTTTTAGTAAGCCTGTGTTTTGACTGCTACCTGTCA